CGCCCCCTAAAACAAAAACCCCTAAAAAAAAAAAAAAAAAAAAGAACAAAAGAACAATCTCTATGTTTTGTACAACCAATTGCTAGAAATAGCATAATAAAACAGATTTTTTTCCTATAGGGAAAAATAGTATTTGTAGTTATTCCTGAGCTGGAATATGGCCTCAGGTATTTCATAGATCTGACTGTCAACTTACTATTAAAGCAAGGATGTGATATAAATTTATTTAGTTCAAAGTAGAAAAAAAACCCCAAATTTTATTACATAGGCATAAATTTTATACCCATATTAACTATGCAAATGAGTCCAATATCTTTAGAAGTTTACATTTAGCATAAAACAGCTATGAAATAGTGAGTGTTTCCTGGTGGTCACTCACTGTGCTGCGCACTTTATAAACATTGGTTTAATCCTCACAACAGCCCTGTTATGTATGTGTGTATTTCCTCATTTGTAGATGAAGTGATTGTGGCTGAAAGTGATTTGGTTGCCAAGATCATAACTGTGATATAAACCTAATGTGCTAAATTGAAATATATATGAGCATATAATGAGCAGCATGTTTCTTTTTTAATTATAGAAGGTTATAAGTGATTAACAGCTGAGTCAACAGTGAGATGTTTTTGGGTTTCTCTACTTTAGTAAAGTCCTGAAAGATAAATATGTGGGGTTCTTAGTTGCATGTATTAGGTAAACCCAAGCTTTGAAGAGCTTACAGTGTAATGGAAAAGAATCTGCTGATGGAGATACATTTGGGGACCATCTAGTCCTTCTTTCTCTATGAAATGAAATTCTTGAAAAAAATTCTATATAGTTTCATAAAGTGTTTTAAAATACAAGGAAAAAGACAGCAGGGATGTTGGTATTGGTGTGTTTTTCACACATATTTAGGAAGTTTTGACAGAAATGAATTGGGCTTCTCTTTAAGTTGATTTTTAAGAAAAGCTACTTGTCCAAGTGAAATGAGCACGTGACCTTGAATACAGATATGTGATCTTCTTTTCAGCTCCTTGACAGTGGGGGCACTTTCACACTGGAACTGGGAGAGGATGAACTGTTCACACTCACCACTCTTACTACAGGTCGCAAAGGCAGCTACTCACTTCCTCCCAAATCTCAGCCCTTCCCACTTTCCTATAAGGATGATTTCAATGTCGGTGAGTATGTTTCACTGAAACTTAACTTGGTCTCCGTCTTTAGCAGTACTGCATCCATTTTTACCTGCCAGTCTGGATGCATGATGGAGTGACTATCAAAAGCATGTTCATTTAGCTCTCAGACTTCTACATGGTACCAGGAGAGCTAATCTTTTTTTAAATTTCCTTCCTTCCTTCCTTCCTTCCTTCTCCCTCTCTCTCTCTCTCTTTTCTTCTTTTCTTTCGTTCGTTCTTTCTTTTTCTTCAAGGTAAATTTCAACTTGAGGACTCTGTATTTTTCAGTGCCTGAAAAAATGTAGAGGTCCTTGTTAGAATGAAAGCTACAGGGCTGGGGGCCCGCAGGTGGCATGGAGGTTAAGGCAGCTGGATTCCCCATGGCTGGTCGGTTTGAGTCTCAGACCTGGAGGCTTGAAAATCATGCCAAGCACATGCACACGTATGCCCAAAATCCTGAAAGAATGGAGAAGATTGCGATGTGACCCTCACAACTAGGGGGTGATTTCTCATTATCTTTCTCTCCCTATATCTCTATCCCTGTCTGGTGAGCACATACTTCCTATAGTAAACATTGAAAAAAAATAAAGAAAAAGAAAGTTATAGGGCCAGTCTCATGGCCTGGAGGTTAAAATAGATCCCACATGGTTGGCTGCATTTCAGATCCCATCCCCAGCAGCTTGAAAAAGCACATGAGGCGTGTGTGTGTGTGTGTGTGTGTGTGTGTGCACGCCAAATCCTGACAGGATGGAGAGATGGAGGAGGAGGGATTTTTGAATGACCATAACCCCATTGGGGGTGTTTTCTCCCTTCCCCTTTATCTCTCTCCTTGGTGAACGAACACACACACCTTCTGGCAATTAAAAAAAAGAAAGTAATAATTCTAGCTTTTTGGTGAAGTTAAGATAATGTATCTCTGCTTCTGTCTCATTGGCCATTGCTGACATCTTTCTTTTGTGTGGAGGTGAAAGCACACTCATATTTGCCATTCTGGGATGCTGTGATCTGAGAATTTATGGGGAGTTATTTTTGGGTAATCTTACTCATTATATGCCCTAGCACTATTAGAGCTCACTGGTGTTCTAGGAAGATCTGTCCTAAAACTGTTAGAAATGGCTTTTGATTATTGGTATTTTAGAGAAACCACTTGAAAAAAAATTAGTAGGCATGTTTATTGTAATATTTTTAGGTCACTGAGTAAGCAACAAAATTTGTTGACTAGTAGGTATTACTGTAGAGAATTTTGGGCTCCACAGTTAAGAGTCCGGTAGCTGTATAATCTAAAATCTGAAGCTGGGGGAGAACCCTAGTGCTAGTGAGTGACTTGCACCTCTTGTTGGATACAGGGCTGCTCTTTCACCAAAGATGGAGGAGACTTGTACCACCTCCTGCTGGCCCCTGCTAGGGAATCTCAGCTCCCTTTTCAGGAAGTGATCTGGTTGATTGGAGCTGATTGAACTGCTTGACTCCTGTTCAACTATGAACTGATGTCCTTGTAACTGTTTGGATACTATGGAAAACAGTGACCCCTAGGGGAACTTGGTGGTTTGGTTTTCTATAATTCTTTTCTTTCTTTCTTTTTTCTTTCTTTTTTTTTTTTTTAGTGTTTTTTGCTATAGGGCTCTTGTGCTTGCTGGAGAGACAGAGAGAGTCAGAGAGACAGAAAGTGAGAAATCACCCCACCCCCCTCCCAGGGGTGATTTCTGGCTTGAGTTTAAACTGCCAGGTCTGGGACTTGAACTGTAGTTGACTACGTGGGAATCCAGTGACGTAACCATTACGCTATCTGCTAGTCCGAGTTTTCTATAGTTTTCTGAGATGGCCTCTTAGATGTATACATTAACCCTGAAAAATGTGTTTTAGCAATCTGTTTTTCAGTTCTCTGTTCTCAAAGGTAACTCTCGCCTTTAGTAGGTGAGGAGTTGGTATGGGAAATGGCCTTATTAATAAGATTGAAAAATTTCTAACACCAAAAGTATTCTGTGATCCTGAAAATGGAGAGGCAATTCAAAACTTTGACACTGAAAATATATGGCTTTATTGGCCACAGAAGAAAGTGAAAACTAAAGTTAAAAACTTTAAGCCAGGCTTTATATCTACTTGATAGGGTTTATAATATCTCATGTGAGGTAATGAATACGAAAACACCTGATAGAGAATCCAGTGCAAATAGTTGGAAGCTATTATGACTCAAATGGCTCTTCTACATTTGTTATTATATGATTCTAATTTAATTTAATAAAACTAAAAAGGGATTAATAGTTTAGGCTTAACACTTTTCTCTATTTAAGAAGTAGAAGAAAATTAGTAAATTCTATACTTGAAATGCTTAATTTTTAAAAAATTGCCAGAGTGCACAGGTGCTTACCAGAGAGGAAGAGAGAGAGAGGGAAAGGGAGAGGTGGAAAGCAACCTCGATGGGGTGTGGCTATACTGTAATCCCTTCTCCTCCACTTCTCCATTCTGCTGGGATTTGGGGCACTTATGTACATGGACTGGGTGTGTTCTCAAGCCTTCAGGGCCAGGATTCAAACTGTGGTCAGCCATCTGGGATCCAGTTCCCTTAACTGTACTAGGCTGCAAAACCAACCCTGTAAATGCTTCTCTAATTTCATTCAGTTGGTGACTGTGACCAATGATTTGAAACTTTGTTTGATGGATGTTTAAGTATAATGCTATCCTTTACTGAGCCCTTGTCAGATGCTATCTTTTATACATTCTGTCATTGAATTTTTTCACCATTCTGCCTACCTAGAAATGAGGAAACTTGAGATACAGGGCAATTAAATAACTTGCCCATGGTGACAGACTGAGCTGGATTTTGAACCTACATCTGACTCACTCCAAAACTCATCATCATTCCTTTTCACCAAATGCAAGGATCAAATATTATGTGATGTCTGTCAAATCCATTATCTTAGTACTTAATTATGGTAACATCAAAATCAATCTCTCTTTATTGGATACAAACACTGAACTTTGAGAAGCTATAAGTACTTATTTAGACATTTTCTAAAATTTTCCAAAATGTGTCATACAGACAGGAAATATTCTAAGGATTCAATACTAAATAGAGTGTTTATTTTGTGTGTGTGTTCTGACAGATTACCCGTTTTTTAGTGAAGCTCCAAATTTTGCTGATCAAACTGGTGTATTTGAATACTTTATGAATATCGAAGACCCTGGGGAACATCGCTTCACACTGCGCCAAGTTCTCAATCAGCGCCCCATAACTTGGGCTGCGGACGCATCCAACACGATCAGCATCATAGGAGATTACAAATGGTTGGTAAGACTGCTGTCCTCAACGTAGGTCCTACCCAAGTAACCTTGAGTTACTTGAGTAAGTTGTTGAGTACATTCCGAAGTGACTGTTTTTAGTAGTCCTCCTTGTCCAAGAACATAGCTGATGTGTAATTCTTGAATATCACGGTGACTGCAAATCAACTAGCAAATTATTTTGCTGCCTCAGTATCCTTCCTTCAAATTTTCCCAACTTAGTAGTGATTATCAGAGGAGCAGCTTGACTTTTTTTTTAGTTGCCAGAGAGCATGTGTGCTTGCCAGAAAGAGAGGAAGAGAATGTAAGAGTGTGTCAGAGAGATAAAGCACCCCTCACGGGGGCCTGGGCATACTGTAAGCCTTTTTTCCTCCATTTCTTCTCCGGATAGGAGTTTGGACATGTTGCACACTGGCCCAGCGTGTTTTTCAAGCTGCTGGGACTGAGATTGGAATTGTGGTTGGTCATGCAGGATCCAGCTCCCTTACCTCATCTATGGGAGCAGCTGGCCTGGGGCAGTTTGATTTTAATATAGTAATTGAAGACTTTTGGACCCTATTATGATGTAATATTCATTTATAAATGGACTGTGATTTGCGTGTTGTTTTTAATTTTTTTTTGTTATTGGAGAGTTGATTTGTTGATCTCATGTTGCCACCTGCTGGACCAATGGTAGAATTACACAGTCTTAGCCTTTGTAGAAAATCTGTTTACCAGGTGACAGTAGATGGCAATAGCAAAAAGCAAATCAGCTTTAGTTGGCTAGTGAATTCAAGTCTTTTCTTTAGGTACCTGGTATGGAAAAAAGTTGTATTTCTTATTCATTTAAAATATAATAATCAAACCAGAAATTCCCTGTCCTTTTACCTTTAGTTGTAGAGTTAAAATATGCTTTCTTGTAACATCTGATTTTGTATTCTTTACCTTTTTTTTTTTTTTTTTTTTTTTTGGTTTAGAAGGGCTTTTAAATAATTAGTGATATTACTAAAATAGATATTTTTAGATAAAACTTTGGTCATATTTGGCAAATACATACCTTATATTCCAAAATGAAACCTAAATTTCTTTTGAAAGGGTAGAATCCTGATTTTTTTTTTTTTTTGGAGAGGTTTTTGCAATAGGGCGCATGCGCTTGCCAGACAGACAGAAACAGACAGAGAGATAGAAAGTGAGAAAAGGCTGATCCAGTATAATTATATATTTCATTTTTCTAAAGGTCTCATTTTCTTATGACTACTCTGAAATGAGGAAAGATTTATATTTGTTTATTTTCCTGGGTAGGTAGATTTTTTTTTTTTTTTCCTTTTTTTTTTTTTTTTTTTTTTTTGGTATAACTGTAACCTGTTTTTCCTCTAACTCATATAATCCTGTTGTGGGAAGCAAATATGTAAAACCACACACAAGCATTCCCGGTTTGGTGGTCGTAAATCGTAGTGCTGGGCCACTAAAATGGCCATATCCGGAGCTTGGAAACTGGACAGGGAAGAGAAGATGACTCTGATAAAGCTTTGAACTGCTTTTCTGTGGAGTGCTACAGAAAGTCTTCATCCCTTCTTTGTTGCCTTACTCCCACTTACAAGTCCTGACTCTGGCCCCAAGGTCTGACAAGAATCTGGAGAAACTGTCGACTGTCCGGCCACTTTTGGCAGGCTCACTAGTCCAATGCTCTTTTGACTACACTTCACACCCTCATCCCAATCGTTGTCTTCCTTCTACAAGTGGGAAAGGGAAAACTAGCTTAGTTTATCTCGGTTCTATTTTAGTAAGTCAGCTCTGAGTGTGTGCATGGTGTCAGTAGTTTAGGATTGTGTTTTGCGTAGAACTTCCTCTATTGTCCTTAGATTTAATGAAGGGGCCCACCACAGTAATTTGACTAGATGAAGGATAATGCCTCTTAAGACTTCCTATCTTGTTTTTAAGCTTTGGTTGGGATCTGAAGACAATTTCGAAGTTACCTTTTCTTGCACTCAGTTGAGCTCTTCATCCCTTTGAACAAATTCGCTTATTAATATATTGACCGGTTTTTGTTTTCTCAGCACAACTGAGGATAGTGGGTGTGGAGGAATAGACTATGCTTTTAATTCTATTTCATACATTAACCACAAAACTACCCGAGAAGTTCTGGTGCAAGAACCACTTTTTCTGGAATGTGTTGTATTGAAAAGGTTGATCTTTCACTCTTACTCTAAATAGAAAAAGTTTATGTAGCTGACAGTATCTGTTGGACTTTTAAACTTCTGATCAATTGGAAAGGAGGTTGGCAGTGTTTGTGACAATATGTTTCTTAGTGGTTTCATACTGATGTTAGTCAACAGAAAGAAAAGCTCTCTATAACATCAGAAGATATACAAGAGAGGTTTCGCTACTTAGCGTTTGATCATCCTGTAAAATAGCCCAATTCAGAATAGGTAATTAAACGTAGAGTTTTTTAATAGATTGTGTACCTCTTTTTTCCCCCTTTACACAGCAAAATTTACTTATGCAAAATTCACTGATAAGAAGAAATGAAGAGGTGTGTAAAAGCCATGTAATTTGAGATCCAATTCTACCCATGCTGGTTCCAAAATGGATTTTGTGGTGGTCTTAGTTTTACGTTAGATAAGTTGTTTGCTTTATTACTTGTTTGTATGCAGATGTTATGTTTTATTCCCATTTGCAGTTAGATATTGAGTAGAAAGTGAATTATTTTCAGAGATCACGTTGGTTTGGGGGATTGTATCATTCTCAGGTGGAACGTATTGTATCTAGTAGCGTTTTTAAAGGAAAACCTGGAGGAGGGCTCGTTGTGAAAGCTCTGGTAGTTCCTGGTTGGCTGAATCTTTTCTTCTGATGTGCTCCTGTGGGTCTGTGGGTTTTATTGCCTCTGGGAAGACAATGATTCTGTATAGTGGAAAATGATTTTCAAAGTGGGATTCACTTGGAAATTCACCTGGAAATTTGGAAGACATGCAAAATCAGGGAGCCTAACTAGGTCCACTGAAGGGGCCAACAGACGGCACTGAGCACTTCTTCCAGGCATTTCTGTGCTGTGCAAATTGGAGAAGCCCAGCTACAGAGACAACACAGCATTGACTCTCTTTTTGCAGAGACACGATTTTAGATCTGTCTTCTGAAGTCTTCCCAAGGTAGCTTGTATTCTCCAGAGGTTCCTAACTTTGTCTTCATTACTTCCCTTTGCCAATGGAAATTTGAATAAACCTTTATTTTTCCTTTTCAGAGTAGTATGGAAACTTTTACCTATTTTTAAAAAATTTTATTTTAATTTATTATTATTATTTAACTTGACAAGAGAGAAACAGAGAGAGAGAGAGAGAGAGAGTGTAAATGGCCAGGCCCAGGACTCGAACCATGGTCAGCCATGAGGGACTCCAGCTCCTTAACTACCACACCACCTGAACAGCCCTGGAAACATTTACCTTTAACATGTTTATAGAGTAGAGTGGCTTCTTTCTATGTTATGGTCTTAGGATGAGAAGTTGTCTCATTACAGAGAGGCAAGAAATATGTTCTTAAGAAACTTAATAATAGTAAATATTATTATCCAGTCACCCATTTGAAGAGGCAATGAAATAACTTATGTAAAACATAAAACTGTCATCACTGAAGATTCCTGAAGCCCATCTCTGGTACAAGCTCAGACGTAGAAAATCATATTCTTGCCTCAACTAGAAACTTAGAAGTGTTTTCTAGAGAGTGACATATTTGTACTACATTACGAATGGCATGCTTTAAGAGTATAAATCAACTGTTTCATTCTGTAGGACCAACATGACTATAAAGTGTGATGTTTACATAGAGACCCCTGAGACTGGAGGTGTGTTCATTGCGGGAAGAGTAAATAAAGGGGGTATTATTATTAGAAGTGCCAGAGGAGTTTTCTTCTGGATTTTTGCAAATGGATCTTACAGAGTTACAGGTGATTTGGGTAAGTGACATTTAAAAAAAATTTTTTTTTATTTAATAGGACATGCCTTACTATGTGATATGTTACTTTGAACATCTGCTTGTTATTTGTGAGACTGATGAAAGCAGGCCACCTCAAAGTGCTTGAACATCTGACTGGGATGAGATTCAGCACATAGAAGCAAATACCAAACAACTCAGAGTTACAGAGATTTACTGAATTAGTACAGAAAGGGGCAGCTCAGTAAAAGAGAAAATAACTGCACAGATCTCTTTAGGTTATCGTAGAGTTGAGCTATGTTGCGTTGTGGGATTTGCACAGACTAGGGTGGGAGGGTTGGGAGGAAGGGAACACTCAGGAGTCATCCTAAATAAAGGGAGACTATTAAAATGGTGCTGTTGTGCTTATGGAATATAAAAAGAAGGATTGATCTGCTTAAAATGGTTTTTGGAGAGGCTTTTGCTATAAGGTGGTCGCCAGATAGAGAGAGACAGAGAGACAGAAAGCGAGAAATCACTCCCCAGGGGATGGCCACGCCTCAGTCCCTTCTCCTCCATTCTCCTCTCGGGATCTTGGACACACTTGCACACGTGCCTGGCGTGAGTTTAAGCCACCGGGTCCGAGACTCGAACTGCGGTCGACTACATGGGAGTCTAGCGACATAGCCGTTACGCTAACTGCTGGTCCTGGAAAAATCCTATTTCTTAATTTAGTTGTTGAGAACAGTGTGACATTTCTCATTCATCTTACTTATCTTATAAAGAACAGTATTTTATCCAGAGTAGTTGCCTAGCATGTATTCAAGTTGAACATCTGTTTCACTGTGGGTTTTTGTTACATACCACTCCACTGAAACTAAACCTTATTGATGGTGACTTTTCTGGATTCTCAATCTCTTGACTTTCCTCCTGCATTAATAACAAACAAACAAAAAATACTCTCTTCTATGGTTTGCTACTCTTGTCTCGACTTTGTAATTACAATGAAATAAAAATTATAGAGGGAGTGGGTGGTAAGAACTTAGAGTAGGAATTACATAATCATGATATAATCGTCTATTAATAGAAGGTACCTCAGTAATTTTCTAATTTAAAACAGACATCCAGTGAGGTTTCTAGTGATTTGCCCAGAGTTTGAAAACTAATTAATGACAGAATTGGAACTAGGAATTTAAATCTGTATCTTCAGTCCCCACTGTTATGTTTTAAACTGCCTACTTGACATCTCATCCTGGATTTCTCTTAGGCATTCAAATACAGTACATCCAAAATTATGTCCTTTTCTCCCTCTAATTCTAAGTTAATGCTGTTACTATGTAAACAGTTACGCTAGCTGAAAATCCTGGGGTAGTCTTTTTGACTATTCCCATTTATCCTCCATATTTCAATTGGGTGTAAATGTATACCTGAACTATTGATGCTAACACAGTATTCTGTGGTTGGTTTTTAAGGTTTTTTTCCCCCAGTTCTGTAGTGAGCGCATGTACAGCATATGGCCTAAGACATGGTTATTGAATACATGGTGGAATGAAGACTCTTTTGCTTGAATCAATTGTAATTCTGGAAGAAAAGGATCTTTACTAAGGCTGACCTTTCTACATACAAATGCCACTTGAGAACCCCCGATGAGTTATAGGATTCTGTGATTTAGATTTTAAAAATATATCAATTAAGATCTTTTTTTTTTTTTTTACAGCTGGATGGATTGTATATTCTATAGGACGTGTTGAAGTTACAGCAAAAAAATGGTATACACTCACATTAACTATTAAGGTATGTATCAGAATGCCCAAGGATAAAATGTTTTCTTCTCGTACCTTTCTAGAACTTTCTGCTATAAGTTGATAGTGGAAAGGGGCAGAGAATCTGCCATGAACCCAGTAAATATCTGTCTCTAGAATGATAATGTGTGTCAGAGTAATCTGCATGTAGGGAGCCATCAATAGTTAACTTTATCAGATCACTATTGTTTTTAATTTTTTTTTTTTTTATAAACTGAGGTGTATTTTTGGATAAAGTTGATAGCTGAACTGGTTTTTAAAAGTTGCTTCGCAAGAATATTTTTGTCAGAGAAGATAGCACATAACTCAGAGTATAACAGAAATCTAAAAAATATTTATCAGAATCACTAGTCATGAGTTAGTGATTGCTAGTGTTGCTAAGAGATACTGTGTAGAGAAAATTCTTTTCTGTAATTTACTGCTGTCTCCCAAGATAGTCCTCTCAAGATAATATTTTTTTAGATTGGAAAAGAAACAAATAGGATTCAAATGACTTTGTAATTCATTCTCCCTCTCACCATCACTTAACCACCAGAAATGACAATAGCAGTTGTTTAAAGCGTTAACAGCACACATTGAAGATCTGGTTTAGATGTAGCAGTTTCTTTAACTAGACCACACCTGATGGATGTAATTTTTGTCCCCAGTTCTTCCCTTTTTCAGTGAATTGAGAAGTAGGGAGACAGTATGGGCTTTGTTCGCACATAAATGTGTCTTCTGGGGTGCATGGGTGGTGTTTCTTTAGACAGGTATTTAGAAGTAGAATTGCATTTTAAAGTGTAATGGATGGTGCCATATTGCTAGCCAAACTCTACCAATTTATACAGCAATCATAATAATATTTGGTATTATCAATTTCAAAAAAATTTTAAAACGATTTAATTTAATTTAATTAATCAATTTAATTTGACCAGAGAGGTACAGAGTAAGAGAGAGAGAGAGGGAAAGTGAGAAAGCAAGTCACCAGGTCCAGGACTTGAACTGCAGTCAGCCATGTGAAAGTCCAGCACCCTTAACCATCATGCCACCTGCTGGCCTCCAATTTCACATTTAAAAAAAAAAATAGATATAATTTGCAATCCTTTGATGATTAGAAAGGTTGCACATTCATGTTTATTAGCTATTTGTGTTTTCTCTGAGGTTGGTTGCCTGTCCACTTTCCTTCCTCACTCTTTTACTGTGTTGTCTTTTTCTGATAGATTTGTTTGAATTTATTATATATATGTTCTTGGTAGTAGCTCATCTTCTGTGATGGATATAACAAGTATTTTCTTATGCTATGCCTATTTTAATATTGTTTATGATATTTTTGATAAATAGAAGTTTTAAGTTTTGATACCATCAACTATTTCAAGTTTCAACCATTTCTCAAGTTTGGGAACATTTTTTTTTCCCTCCAAATCAAACGAAGTTTAAGATCTATTTATTTATTTAATTTAATTTTATACATTCAATTACTAGACCTCACTTAGCTTGTAAAGTGAATATACCCAACATGAATACACTTCACCTTAGTCCAGTTGAGGATACTATGCACATTATAATCAACAGATAATTATCCATTTCTGTGTCCCATAATTATCTTGTCTTTCTATTTTTCTCCTTGATTTCTTCCCTCATATTCTTCCCCTTCTCCTCCCTTCTTCTCATACTGTCTCAAGTATCCTAACCATTTTCCATGTTTGTATATCCTCTAATCTTTCAGTTTCTGCTATAAAGTGCAGACAGTTGGTATACGTTAAGTGGAGACATACAGTGTCTCTCTTTCATAGCCTGGCTTGTTTTACTCAGCAGTAAATCTTCCATATTCATCTACTTTCTATCAGATGCCAAAGTCTCATTGTTTTTTATGGCTGAGTAGTATTCTATAGATTATATGTGCCTCATTTTATCAATCCATTCATGTGTTCATGCACATTTGGGTTGGTTCCATGGCTTAGCAATTCTGAATAATGCTGTAGTAAACACAGATGTGCAAGTACTTTTCTGATTAAGTATTCTTCTGTCCTTTGGGTAGATACCAAGGAGTGGGACTGCTGGATCATATAGTAGTTCTATTTGTAGATCTTTGAGGAACCTCCATATTGTTCTCCACAGTGGCTGGCCCAATTTACATTCCCACCAGCAGTGTAGGAGGGTTCCCCTTTCACCACATCCCTCCCAGAATTTATCATCTGTGTTCTGTACCTCTGATATAGCTACTCTTAATTAGTTAAACCATTTTTTCTCATATGTCTTCAATATAATGCTATTTGGTACTTTTAGAAATTAGCTTTTGTTGTGCTACTATTATAGCATAGATACGGGTTTTACTGACTCACTCACTCTACCTGCCTGGCTCCATCATTTTTTTTTTTTGTCAGCTGTAGACATTCTGCTTCTCCCTTTCATTTCAACTTTATTCCACAGGCTCTGAGAGCCTTTCTCCAACTCTCCAATATAAAGTAGTCTCTTAGGCACCCACTGTCACATCAGCCTGTTTTACTTCTTTTTATTTTAGGTTTTTGCCAAAGGGTATACATGTGCTCTCTGGAGAGAGACAGAGACAGAGAGAGAGAAAGTGAGAAATCACTCCCCATGGGGATTGCTATACCACAATCCCTTCTTCCCCATTCTCCTCCCGAGATTTTGGGAATGTACACACACATACCTGGGGTGATTTTGCAAGCTATTGGGCCCAGTATTCAAACTGTGGTCAGCTATGAGGGAGTCCATCATCGTAACTACCATACAGCATGCTGCTCCATTACTTCTTAATGTGCCACTTATTGCTAGTTCCCATTTATTGTGTGTATAGGTTTCTGTGTCTCCTTTTATTAGAATAATGCTTCATAAGAGCAAGGACCTTGTCTTTCTTATTCATCATAAGTTTCCAGTGCATTAAACAACATTTGGCATATAAACCTTTGCTACATAAATGAGAAAGAAACAGTCTCTTCTGTGTTTTCCATGTTCTAAATTGCAACTAGGATAAGGATTTTACTATGTTAACATTGGCCATTTGTTGAATTCTCTGCACATATTAGGTGCCTTAATCCCATACTGTTGGGTGAGAGAACAATAAATTTTTTTTTTTTTGGAGAGGTTTTCGCTATAGGGCGCGTGTGCTCGCCAGATAGACAGAGAGAGACAGAGAGACAGAAAGCGAGAAATCACCCCCCGGGGGGGATGGTCACGCCGCAATCCCTTCTCCTCAATTCTCCTCTTGGGATCTTGGGCACGCACACACATGCGCCCGGCGTGAGTTTTAAGCCACCGGGTCCGGGACGCGAACCATGGTCGACTACGTGGGAATCCAGTGACATAGCCATTACGCTAACTGCTGGTTCCCGAGAACAATAGATTTTAAAATCTACTATATTCCACTTGAAAGTATTTTGCATTACTCAATTTGTTTTCCCATTTATAATATCATGAAGGCACACCCTTCTTATAAAGAGTAAATGAGATAACATGAAAATTTAGTACATTATCTGATATGTGGTAAGAATATAACAAATCAAGTTAATATTCTTAGTTGTAGGAGTGTTTGGAAACAGGCAGAACAGCTTTGTTTCAAAAATTTTTGTTACATAGTATGTGTGCTTTCCAGAGAGAAGGAGAGTGAGAAATCATCCCTCAGAGGGGATGGCCATGCTGCAATCCTTTCTTCTCCATTCTCCTTTCAAGATTTTGAGTGTGCACACACACACCCCTGGTATGTTTTTTCAACTGCTGGGTCCAGGACTCAAACCGTAGCGTAGAGTTAGCCATGTAGGATCCAGTACCTTAGCCATCATACCACCTGCTGGCTCCAGAGCAACTATCTTACTCCCTTACTAATATATAGAGTCTTCTAGTAAGTTATTTCGCCTTTTGAAGCTTCTGTTTCTTTATCTGTAAAATGTAGATAACTTCTATGAGCTTGTTTTGGAGGTTTTTATTAAGCCCTTCCTATATACACTTTTCTCAGTGCTAGAGATACAGCAGTGAACAAGACTGACAGGACTCTCTTAGAGCAAACTCTTCTGGGACAGGAGTTGGCAAACCTTTCCTGTAAAGGGCTGTATTGAATTCTTTAGATGCTGTGAGCTGTGTGGGCTGCTGCTCCTCAGCTCTGAGGTAGTAGTGGGGAAGCAGCCATAGGCAGTAGGTGGACCAATGAGTGTGCCTGACTTTCCAGTAAAACCTTATTTACAAAAGTGGGTGGCTGGCCTCCAGGTCATAGTTTGCAGACCCTCTGTTCTAGACAGTAAACTTACACATAAAAACATAAGTAATTATGTAGAAAAAGTAGGGTGATGAGCTAATGAAGCTCCCTGCCTAATTCTCTAACTAGGGAGATCAGGGAAGGCTTTGTTGAGTCACTGGTGTTTGAACTTAGATCTGAGTGAGGGGGGAACCATCTGAGCAGAGCACATACCTAATGCAAAAGGTGGGCATGACTGGCCTGGCCTGAGGGACCACCAGGAAGTCTGGGAGCTAGTGGGAGGAGGAGGCAGGTTTGTGTTCACTCTGATTTGTGTGTGAGTCCGTTGGCTGCATTAATGTTCACTGTCTCAGAGTGACAGAGGGTGTTCAGTAAGCAGCCTTAGAGCTGAAGAAAGTGGTGTGGACGGGTTTCAATAGGGACATGGCTCCAAATATGGAGTGAAGTGACTTGGATTCAAGTCCCATCTTTGTGGGCAAATCTGTGACTTTGAGTTTTAATCTTGCTAAGCCTCATGTCTCCATCTATAAAATAAAAGAAAGAAATGAAGGCATATTGCATTGTAAGTCTAAGACTTAACAACAGGTGTATTTTGGTTCTCAGCCCAGTGCTTTGAATCTTCATCCCTTCAGTGGTATGCTGTGAAACCTCTTAAGTGTGCTATGATGATGATAAGAGCTCACCTTGCTGTTTTCGACGTGCCAAAGAGAATGATAATCTCATGGCAACCCTCTGAGGAGACAGATGGATTCTTACCTTCTTCTATCCCCACCCACTGCCTCATCATCAGTTAAACCAATGGCTGTTATTTTTTCAGCTTAAGGATAGAAGCTTCCTATGGCTTCCAAGTGATATCCTATACATTTGGTGCCAAACACTAAAAGTAAGATGAATTATTTCTCTTCTGACTGGGGAAAGGGTCCTTAATGAAGATCTCAAATAAAACACTGAAGTAGAGGCAGATGTTTGGCTCCAGCACAGTCTCAGCTGAAGAGCTGGTGGCTCAGTCACAGCACCTGCATCTGTAACTACTTATAAATACAGGTGTTTTTATTTTAGTGGCCTCTGTCTAAAACTTTATAATGACATTAGGAACAGTTTCGTACTTTTGTCAGTTTCACAGTTAGGAGAGGCACAAAGAAATATTGAGGTACCCCCTGTACCTTGGGAGGCTATTTAAATAGGTAGGTAAGCATTTCCTCCTAGATATTTTCTTTTAAAACTTTTGCTCAAACTTGTGGGACTGTGTTTTGCTGTCTTGAGAGTGAAGGGCATTTGCTTCACTAAGTACATGGGCCATATATTATGAAGAAACGGGTTCAGAGGTTCATTTCCATCTTCTTTGTACTTCAGGGTTATTTCTGCTCTGGCAAGTTGAATGACAAGTCTCTGTGGACAGACATCCTCGTGCCTTTCCCGAAGAATGGCTGGGCTGCAATCGGAACTCACTCCTTTGAATTTGCACAGTTTGACAACTTTCACGTGGAAGCTGCGCGCTAATACTCATGGAGGATCATAGGAAACTCTTTGGATAGTCTTTCTTTCTTTTTAGTTTTGATTCAGAGCCAGTTACTGTGCTAATGAACTGATATCTGAGCCTTTGGAGGCTAAAAATAATGGAGAGTAAGTGAGGAGGAAAATATATTTTTCTCTGACCCTGTGGAATATATATTTTTGGACTAATTCGAAGGGGAGAGACAGGTGAATCTTTAACATGACCTGATCTGTCCCCTAAAGTTCTAACTCTGCATTGGTCCTCTGCTTAGGAGTGGCCTGGGTGGCTCAAACCTCAGAGCGTTGGTGCCAGTACTGAGGCAGCTCTGCCACCGTATTCGCAAGTGATCGTGCAGAGGGCAGTAACTCGGTCATCACGAGATGCGTTTATGATTGCTGACCTTGGGTCCAGGGGAGCCGGTGGTGCCGCCAGACAGGAAAGCAAAGAACCCTGCAAGTGCTGCTTTTTGAAAACCACTTCAACATGTCATCCTAACACTCCAGACATAGGTGTTTCTCTTACTTTTTAAGATGATACTTTTCAGTTGTAGTATGTATGAGTGGGTGCTTTGAAAAATGTCTCATTAATTAAGTACCTCTGAAGCTTTTTCTGCAGTAATAAATGTTAGCAGAGTAATTGGGTTATTTGCATTCTTTAATTCTTTTGATTCAACTTTTAGACTTGTAACGCATATCACTCTGTGAATGCTTTCCCAGGTGGCTGGAAGAAGCAAGAAAGTTTGGTACAGTCCATGCTGTAAGTGGGTCTAGAGACAAAGTTGTAGCAATTTTCCCGTGTCCCATTTCATTGTGCCTTTGAGGTCTGTTCTCACACGCGCAGTGTTAACAGACCATGACAGCTAAATGAATGCGCTTCTGCGGAAGGAGTGGCCCCTTAGTCACTTACTAGCTCACAGAATTGGGACAGCTCCTAATGTTTTGTATGATTAGAGGTACATACTTTTTAAATGTCCAAGTGTGTTTTTATTTAAATATGGATAAGTGTGTTTCTCATATAGTGTGACTTATCTCTATGCATTAATGTAGCTCTTAGAAAACAAATCAATGTTCACCTGTTGAAATATTCACTTTGTAAGCTAAATAATGTGATTGAATGTATTAAAAGAAAATGAAATTAAAAAAGAAAAAAAGAGAATGTATAAAAAAATAAAATAATTATATAATAATAAAAACAACCAAAAAACAAATCAATTATGTAAAGTGAATTCTGAAATTCTTCTTAAGGAAAGAATTATTCACTGAACTAATTCTACTGTTTAGGAGTTTGCATTTAGTCTAACAAAAGCTAAGCCACAATGAAGTTTTGAATAATTTTCGAAGACAAGGAACTAAATTACTAAAATAAATTGCAACCAAGCCTAAGTGGTTTGCAATTCAGATCTCTAAATATTTTTTAAAACTAACATTTTAGAGGTATAATTTATGTACAATAAAATGTTTCCTTTCCAAGTACATGCACAGCTCCATGAGGTTTGGTCAATGGAGGTAGCAATGTAATCAACACTAGTCAAACCACAGAATACCCTAGGGAACGTTCCTGGTATTCCCGGAAGTACTGAGTCCCCTCACTACCAACCTCAGGCAAACATCGATATGATTTCCATCATTTCAGATTAGTTTTCTTTGTTCTAAAATATCATAAAAGTGGTGTCATATACTATATATTGTTGTGGGTGGTTTCTTTTAGTCAGTGTAATGCTTTTGAGAGTTATCCGTGTTATATGTATTTTTTAGGTATTTATTTTTTGAGAGAGAGATACAGAACCACTGGCAGGGTCCTAATGCTGCGATCCACCCCCAGCTTCACTCAACTCAGATGTCTCCAGCACACATGTGCTCTGTGTACTCAAGGGGTTTTCCGCATGCAAACTGGCAACCCTTCCCTGTGGGTCTCCCTTGCAGAGCGTCATGTTCTATCACTGAGCCACCACTGGTCCCTGCCTTTTCTTAGTTTTGAAACTATATGATTATACCACAATTTGTCTCCCCTTCCCCAATTTCTGGAATTATAAATAAAACTGCTGTTAGCACTTAACATGTAAATCTTCATGTGAACATATGTTTTTATTTCTTCCAGATGAATACCCAGTAGTGAGATTGCTGGTTCATATGTTAAATATGTTTGTAAGAAACAACTAAACTGTTTTCTGAAATGATGGTATAATTTTACACTCCCATCAATGATGTTTACAGTTACTATGCATTTCTTGTCAATTTTTCTTATCATCATTCCTTCTAATTTTTTTAAGAGAGATTTTTTGCTACAGGGTGAGGATGCATGCCGGAGAGACAGAGACAGAAAGCGAGAAATTACCCCCCAGGGGGGATGGCCACAATGCAATCCCTTCTCCTCCATCTCCTGTTGGGATCTGAGGCACACATGCACATGCGCCCCGTGTGAGTTTTAAGATTCTGGATCTGGGACTCCAACCACAGTTGACAATGTGTGAGTCCAACAACTTAACCTTTACGCCATCTGCTGGTCCCATTCTTTCTAATTTTAACACTTAATTTTGGGCATTCTAGGTGCATTTCTCTAATAACTAAAGCATTTTTTGGTTGGCTTACTAGCCATTCACTTATAAGCGGACTTCTAAAAGTTCACTGAAAATGAAATTAAAGTACAAGTGTATTTTGTTGCAAAAAATTATGAAATCCATTTATCATAAAATGCAGTTTTTGGATGTACTTTTTGAAGTTTATAAGATGTCTGTTCTGATTTTTCACCTATTTTAAAAATTACATTGTCAATGCGATGTAGGAAATATTTATGCATTCCAATATAAGTTTAATTTGCCAAGTTCATGTGCTTGCTGGGGAGAGATAGACAGAGAGTGTGAGGGGGAAAACACTCCTTATGGCGGATGGTCACACCATAATCTCTGCTCCTTTATTGCTTCTCACTTTCCAGATTTGGGGCATACAAACACACGTGCCCTGTGTGTTTTTCCAACCCTGCGGGTCTAGGACTCAAACTGTAAGCCATGTGGAATCCACCCTCCTAAACCACCATTCCACAGTCTGGCTCAGAGTTTTGGTTCTTTTTTTCTTTCTTTTCTTTTTTTAACTGAACTTTTATAGATTATTTTCTCTACTTTTGCAGATCCTGATAGAATTTTGGTTCTGATTGCATTTAAATTTCAGATCAATTTTGGGAGAAATGATATTTGAATAAAATGGACCCTTCAATCCCTTGGTCATTAGATTTTTTCATGTTTTAGGCTTCTGTGTAACTTCTCTCAGCAATCTGGTTTTCAGTGTGCTGATCTTGAACATATTTTATTCAATTTTTTTGTGATATTCCTATTTCCTTTTTCAACTATTTGTTGTGCATACATAGAAATATAGTTGATTTTTGTATATATAACTGCAATCCTGTTACTTTACAAATTCTTATTTTATTTCTTTTTGATAAATTCTTTAGGATTTTCTACATATACGTCTATGTGATCTGTGAATAGAAACTTCTTTCCAATATTTCTGCTTTATTTCTTTTTTTCATGTTTTAAGGTGTATTTTATTTACAAAGTGAGATGATGCATTACAAATACATAATGCAGTTACAAACAGATATCTGGTAACTATTTTCATGAAAAAGTATATAAATATATTACAGGAAATTTTACATAGTAAACATTAGAAACTGATGTGGTAAACATTTGCTACTTTCTTTTCTATGCCAATATTACTGTCATTTAAAGCATCAATACTGGCTTCAAGTATCCCCTATAAAATAACTACCTTATTAAAATACAGGAAAAAATTTTTTGCTATAAACAAGATCGGAGCATTAAAAGTAGTGTCTTTGTAATAGTGGCCACTATAATCAAATACTTTTAATCATCTCTAAGATCTGCATTGTTTGGTTAGTGTTAAAAAATTTCTAATTACTAAAGGAGCTGTAAAAATACAGCCTTTTAACATTATTTACTGTTCCAATGGTGACCCGTCTAAGGTAGAGGAGAGTAAGTGTAATGACATTGTGTGGGCTTGCTGCTCACTTTCCGTAGAGAACTGGAGTCTGCTGAGGGCCAGGAGAGAAACCAGCGTGCGTCAGGAAGGCAGCTCCGCACGTCATTCTAGGAGCTGAGGCTGCTCTCTTTGCTCTTCTTCAGCTTGTAGCCATGCCAGGACATAAAGAATGACTTGGTAGCAGAAAATAGACTGATCCTCCATCTGTACCATCCCATGACTTGGTAGTCTCATGCATCTGATGTTGCCTTATTGCACTGGCTAGGACTTCAGGCTTGAAGTGGTAAGAGCAGACCACTTTACCTTGTTTCTGATCAGAAGATGAGTGTCTTTTACCATTGTGATGCTAGCTCTAGAAGTTTGGGGGAGTGGCGGTGGGTAGAGTCCCTTTATCTAGGGAAAGTCCCTATTTTTAGTTTGTTGAGATTTTTGTCATGAATAGATAATGAAATCATCAGTGTTTTTTCTACATCTAATAAGATGGTTTTATGTCTTTTCTCCTTTATTGTGTTAACATGATATATCACATTGTTTGATTTTCAAATATGAAAGCAACTTTGCATTTGTAAGACATATCATAACTAAGTGGGATTTATAGCCCTGTTTATAAATTGTGGATTTTATTTTACAGAATTTGGCTAGGGAAGTTTGCATCTAAGCTTATGTAGAATATTGATCTAGCTTTATTTTCTAATAACTTCTTTGGTTTTGGTGATAGAGTGATGTTTCATAAAATTACTTGGATAAATTTCTGTTATCTCCTCCTTTATTTTCTGGAAGAGTTTGTGAGATTCTTAAAACTAAACTCATTACTTATATCAAACAGAGTCCAGACAGAAGTCAGAAACTCCAGGAAGAAGTTAAAGAGTGGTTAGGGGCAAAGAGTACGCTAAAGAATATAGGAATAGCCCGTACAGAGATCAGCAACTTCCTTGGCTGGACCAGAGTACCCAAAAAAGGAACAGATTTGGAAGAGGTCTTCCTTACAAGGCTGAGATTCAGATTTCACGGAAGATGGTGTAGCTGTGTCCCTGAGGTAGCACAGACGTTTGCTGAGATATTGCATGCTGGCACTGGCATTAGGAGAGTGCCTCCTGGGGTGTCTTTGAGACTCATTGGGAAAATACCTCTTCCGGTGCTGGTGAAACTTTCAGAAAATCACCTCTAGGAGTATTGGTGAAAATCCCTGGAAGACAAATGCCATTTGTTGACCTAGCTTTCACTAGGAGGGATACTCCACTGGGTATCCAACATGCTGCTAGTAGCCACATACTGCAGGAGAGAGAAGAAGAAAAGCATGCTGGGACTCCTTCCTTCTGCAGTGCCTCTCTGGTAACCTCTAAGGACAAAGCTGAATTGTGGCATCTGGCACAAGAGAAATACTTACAGGACCAGCTCTAGTAGCATAAAGCAGATCAAAGAAGAAGGAATTTGGGCCTAAGAAACTTTAATAGAATAAGGCTATTCTAATTTTGACAATGTGCTTTCAAGGTATTTGTCTATTTTACCTAAGTTATCTGATTTATTGACTTCTGGTTTCTGGGATTTTCTTTTCTTTTGCTTCCTTGTTTTCAGTTTCATTGATTACTGCTTGTACTATTTATTATTATTATTATTTGTTACAGGGCATGTGCACTCACCAGAGAGACAGAGAGACAGAAAGCGAGAAATCACCCCCTAGAGTAGATGGCCATGCCACAGTCCCTTCTTCATTCTCCTCTTAGGATTTTGGACACACACACATGCACACGCACACACACATGCACATGCACCTTGTGTGAGTTTCAAGCTGCCAGGTCCAGGACTCGAGCCATGGTTGGTCATGTGGTAGTCCAACAATGTAACCATTACACCATCTGCTGTTCCCGTTATTTTTCTTTAGGGTTAAATGCACGCTTATCACAGCTCCTAAAGGGATAAGCTTAGATCTTTAGTTTTGGATTTAAAAAAAAAATGATCATTTAATGCTAAAATTTTCCCTAAGCACTGATTTATCATCTCATATTTTGGTATTTATATATTCATTCAGTTCAAAATAGTACATATACTATATATGTACACACACATACACGCACACACATATATATATACACACACACACCTCTCTGCTAATTAGAAGTGTGGTGTTTAATTTCCAAATAATTGAATATTTGCCAAATAACATTTTGTCATTGATATTTAACATAATTCTATTGTAGTCACAGAATGTATTCTGTTCATTTCAATAATTTTAAATGTATTTAGACTTATTTTATGACCCTATTTATCTTAGTCATTATATCCTTAAAAATAAATTACTTTCTGCAGTGATTGGCTGTAATGTTTTACAAATATTAAGTGGGTCGTATTGGTTGATAATGTCATTTAAGACTCAATGTACTATTGATCTTCTGTCTACTTGTTCTATCAATGGCCCAGAAAGAAGTGCTAAATCTCAAATGCAATTGTGTGTTTTCTGTTTCCCTTTCCAGTCTGACAGGTTAATTCTTTTGGTGCTTTCTAGCTCTCACATACCCTATTTTTTTTTTTTTTTTGAGAGGTTTTCACTATAGGGCGCGTGTGCTCGCCAGACAGACAGAGAGAGACAGACAGAAAGCGAGAAATCATCCCCTAGGGGGGATGGTCACGCCGCAGTCCCTTCTCCATTCTCCTCTCGGGATCTTGGGCACACACGCACACGCGCCCGACATGAGTTTTAAGCCACCGGGTCCGGGACGCGAACCGCGATTGACTACGTGGGAGTCCAGCGACATAGCCATTACGCTAACTGCTGGTTCCCCACATAGCCCTATTCTTAAGGCATGGGATTTTCTGGGAGTAGAGTTCTCGCCATGATAGTTGTTCAGATCTTGAATATCTTTCAGCTTTATGGGAGTTTTGATAGTTGTTGAGCTAACCGGTTCCTAGTAACTGTGCTTTCTCTGGTTGGTTCTTTGGCCAGTTTATGGGCTTTCATATTATGAATATGTAGCTTAGTTTAGAGCCAAAGAGTCAAATAGATCTTCTATGAGATTGCTGGGTTTTGTTTTCTGCATAGCTTGCTTCTCTTAAGTTCTCTGCATTTCAGGTGCCTCA